GACTCACCACACAGAGACCCATAGACTCACCACACAGAGACCCATAGACTCACTCACACAGAGACACACAGACTCACCACACAGAGACCCATAGACTCACCACACAGAGACCCACAGACTCACCACACAGAGACCCATAGACTCACCACACAGAGACCCATAGACTCACCACACAGAGACCCACAGACTCACCACACAGAGACCCACAGACTCACCACACAGAGACCCACAGACTCACCACACAGAGACCCATAGACTCACCACACAGAGACCCATAGACTCACTCACACAGAGACCCATAGACTCACTCACACAGAGACCCACAGACTCACCACACAGAGACCCACAGACTCACCACACAGAGACCTATAGACTCACCACACAGAGACCCACAGACTCACCACACAGAGACCCATAGACTCATCACACAGAGACCCACAGACTCACTCACACAGAGACCCACAGACTCATCACACAGAGACCCATAGACTCACCACACAGAGACCCACAGACTCACCACACAGAGACCCATAGACTCTCCACACAGAGACCCACAGACTCACCACACAGAGACCCACAGACTCACCACACAGAGACCCACAGACTCACCACACAGAGACCTATAGACTCACCACACAGAGACCCACAGACTCACCACACAGAGACCCATAGACTCATCACACAGAGACCCACAGACTCACTCACACAGAGACCCACAGACTCATCACACAGAGACCCATAGACTCACCACACAGAGACCCACAGACTCACTCACACAGAGACCCACAAACTCACCACACTGAGACCCACAGACTCACCACACAGAGACTCATAGACTCATCACACAGAGACCCACAGACTCACTCACACAGAGACCCACAGACTCATCACACAGAGACCCATAGACTCACCACACTGAGACCCACAGACTCACTCACACAGAGACCCACAAACTCACCACACAGAGACCCACAGACTCACCACACAGAGACCCACAGACTAACCACACAGAGACCCATAGACTCACCACACAGAGACCCATAGACTCACCACACAGAGACCCATAGACTCACCACACAGAGACCCACAAACTCACCACACAGAGACCCACAGACTCACCACACAGAGACCCACAGACTCACCACACAGAGACCCACAGACTCACTCACACAGAGACCCACAGACTCATCACACAGGGACCCATAGACTCACCACACAGAGACCCACAGACTCATCACACAGAGATCCATAGACTCACTCACACAGAGACCCACAAACTCACCACACAGAGACCCACAGACTCACCACACAGATACCCATAGACTCACCACACAGAGACCCATAGACTCACCACACAGAGACCCATAGACTCACCACACAGAGACCCATAAACTCACCACACAGAGACCCACAGACTCACCACACAGAGACCCACAGACTCACCACACAGAGACCCATAGACTCACCACTCAGAGACCCACAGACTCACCACACAGAGACCCATAGACTCACCACACAGAGACCCATAGACTCACCACACAGAGACCCACAGACTCACCACACAGAGACCCACAGACTCACCACACAGAGACCCATAGACTCACCACACAGAGACCCACAGACTCACCACACAGAGACCCATAGACTCACCACTCAGAGACCCACAGACTCACCACACAGAGACCCATAGACTCACCACACAGAGACCCACAGACTCACCACACAGAGACCCATAGACTCACTCACACAGAGACCCACAAACTCACCACACAGAGACCCACAGACTCACCACACAGAGACCCATAGACTCACCACACAGAGACCCATAGACTCACCACACAGAGACCCACACTCACCACACAGAGACCCACAGACTCACCACACAGAGACCCATAGACTCACCACACAGAGACCCACAGACTCACCACACAGAGACCCATAGATTCACCATACAGAGACCCACAGACTCACCACACAGAGACCCACAGACTCATCACACAGAGGCCCACAGACTCACCACACAGAGACCCACAGACTCACCACATAGAGACCCACAGACTCACCACACAGAGACCCACAGACTCACCACACAGAGACCCACAAACTCACCACACAGAGACCCACAGACTCACCACCACACAGAGACACACAGACTCACCACACAGAGACCCATAGACTCACCACACAGAGACCCACAGACTCACCACACAGAGACCCATAGACTCACCACACAGAGACCCACAAACTCACTACACAGAGACCCACAGACTCACCACACAAAGACCCACAGACTCACCACCACACAGAGACACACAGACTCACCACCACACAGAGACCGATAGACTCACTACACAGAGAGCCATAGACTCACACAGAGCCCCACAGACTCACCACACAGAGACCCACAGACTCACCACACAGAGACCCACAGACCCACCACACAGAGACCCACAGACTCACCACACAGAGACCCACAAACTTACCACACAGAGACCCACAGACTCACCACACAGAGACCCATAGACTCATCACACAGAGACCCACAGACTCATCACACAGAGACCCATAGACTCACCACACAGAGACCCACAGACTCACCACACAGAGACCCACAGACTCACCACACAGAGACCCACAGACCCACCACACAGAGACCCACAGACTCACCACACAGAGACCCACAAACTTACCACACAGAGACCCACAGACTCACCACACAGAGACCCATAGACTCATCACACAGAGACCCACAGACTCATCACACAGAGACCCATAGACTCACCACACAGAGACCCACAGACTCACCACACAGAAACCCACAGACTCACCACACAGAGATACACAGACTCACCTCACAGAGACACATAGACTCACCACACAGAGACCCATAGACTCACCACACAGAGACACATAGACTCACCACACAGAGACCAATAGACTCAACACACAGAGACCCGCAGACTCACTACACAGAGACCCACAGACTCACCACACAGAGACCGATAGACTCACTCACACAGAGACCCACAGATTCACCACACAGAGACCCATAGACTCAACACACAGAGACCCATAGACTCACCACACAGAGACCCACAGACTCACCACACAGAGACCCACAGACTCACAAACTCACCACACAGAGACCCACAGACTCACAAACTCACCACACAGAGACCCACAGACTCACCACACAGAGACCCACAGACTCACCTCACAGACCCACAAACTCACCACACAGAGACCCACAGACTCACCACACAGAGACCCACAGACTCACCACACAGAGACCCATAGACTCACCACACAGCCACACACAGACTCACCACACAGAGACCCATAGACTCACCACACAGAGACCCACAGACTCACCACACAGAGACCCACAGACTCACCACACAGAGACCCACAGACTCACCACACAGAGACCCATAGACTCACCACACAGAGACCCACAGACTCACCACACAGAGACCCACAGACTCACCACACAGAGACCCACAGACTCACCATACAGAGACCCACAACCCCACCACACAGAGACCCACAGACTCACCACACAGAGACCCACAGACTCACTACACATAGACCCATAGACTCACCACACAGAGACCTACAGACTCACCACACAGAGACCCACAGACTCACAAACTCACCACACAGAGACCCACAGACTCACAAACTCACCACACAGAGACCCACAGACTCACCACACAGAGACCCACAGACTCACCTCACAGACCCACAAACTCACCACACAGAGACCCACAGACTCACCACACAGAGACCCACAGACTCACCACACAGAGACCCATAGACTCACCACACAGCCACACACAGACTCACCACACAGAGACCCATAGACTCACCACACAGAGACCCACAGACTCACCACACAGAGACCCACAGACTCACCATACAGAGACCCACAGACTCACCACACAGAGACCCACAACCCCACCACACAGAGACCCACAGACTCACCACACAGAGACCCACAGACTCACCACACAGAGACCCATAGACTCACCACACAGAGACCCACAACCCCACCACACAGAGACCCACAGACTCACCACACAGAGACCCATAGACTCACCACTCAGAGACCCACAGACTCACCACACAGAGACCCATAGACTCACCACACATAGACCCACAGACTCACCACACAGAGACCCATAGACTCACTCACACAGAGACCCACAAACTCACCACACAGAGACCCACAGACTCACCACACAGAGACCCATAGACTCACCACACAGAGACCCATAGACTCACCACACAGAGACCCACAGACTCACCACAGAGACCCACAGACTCACCACACAGAGACAGATAGACTCACCACACAGAGACCCACAGACTCACCACACAGAGACCCATAGATTCACCATACAGAGACCCACAGACTCACCACACAGAGACCCACAGACTCACCACACAGAGACCAACAGACTCACCACACAGAGACCCACAGACTCACCACACAGAGACCCACAGACTCACCACACAGAGACCCACAGACTCACCACACAGAGACCCACAAACTCACCACACAGAGACCCACAGACTCACTACACAGAGAGCCATAGACTCACCACACAGATACCCATATACTCACCACACAGAGACACACAGACTCACCACACAGAGACCCACAGACTCACCACACAGAGACCAACAGACTCACCACACAGAGACCCACAGACTCACCACACAGAGACCCACAGATTCACCACACAGAGACCCACAGACTCACCACACAGAGACCCACAGACTCACCACACAGAGACCCATAGACTCACCACACAGAGACCCATAGACTCACCACCACAGAGACCTACAGACTCACAACACCGAGACCCACAGCCTCACCACACAGAGACCCACAGACTCACCACACAGAGACCCATAGACTCACCACATGATCGTGATTGTGCTCATGATTGTGATCATGATTGCGATCATGATTGTGAACGTGATTTTAATCTCACCAGGCTGGAGAGGATGTAGTTGTATCCTCTGATGTGCTTCCCCATCGCCACGATCTGTGGCGTCAAGAACAGCAGCTCAGAGGAGTAGCAGCAGCACACACAGTAGCACACACACACAGTAGCACACACACAGTAGCACACACACAGTAGCACAAACACAGTAGTAGCACACACACAGTAGTAACACACACACAGTAACACACACACAGTAGCAGCACACACAGTAGCACACACACACACAGTAGCACACACACAGTAGCACACACACAGTAGCACAAACACAGTAGTAGCACACACAGTAACACACACACAGTAGCACAAACACACAGTAGCACACACACAGTAACACACACACAGTAGCAGCACACAGTAGCACACACACACAGTAGCACACACACACACAGTAGCACACACACACAGTAGCACACACACACAGTAGCACACACACACACACAGTAGCACACACACACAGTAGCACACACACACAGTAACACACACACACAGTAGCACACACACAGTAGCACACACACACAGTAGCACACACACAGTAGCAGCACACACACAGAGTAGCAGCACACAAACACAGTAGCACACACACAGTAGCACACACACACAGTAGCAGCACACACACAGTAACACACACAGTAGCACACACACACAGCACACACACACAGTAGCAGCACACACACAGTAGTAGCACACACACACAGTAGCACACACACACAGTAGCACACACACACAGTAGCAAACACACACAGTAGCACACACACACAGTAGCACACACACACACAGTAGCACACACACACACACAGTAGCACACACACAGTAGCACACACACACACACAGTAACACACACAGTAGCACACACACACAGTAGCAGCAGCACACACACAGTAGCACACACGCAGTAGCACACACACAGTAACACACACACAGTAGCACACACACACAGTAGCACACACACACAGTAACACACACACACACAGTAGCACACACACACAGTAACACACACAGTAGCACACACACACAGTAGCACACACACACAGTAGCACACACACAGTAGCACACACACAGTAGCACACACACAGTAACACACACACAGTAGCACACACACACAGTAGCACACACACACAGTAGCACACACACAGTAGCACACAAACAGTAGCACACACACACACAGTAGCACACACACACAGTAGCACACACACACAGTAGCAGCACACACACAGTAGCACACACACAGTAACACACACACAGTAGCACACACACAGTAGCACACACACACAGTAGCACACACACACAGTAGCACACACACAGTAGCACACACACAGTAGCACACACACACAGTAGCACACACACAGTAACACACACACACAGTAGCAGCAGCACACACACAGTAGCACACACACACACACAGTAGCAGCACACACACACAGTAACACACACACACAGTAGCAGCACACACACAGTAGCACACACACAGTAGCACACACACACAGTAGCACACACACAGTAGCACACACACACAGTAGCACACACAGTAGCACACACACAGTAGCACACAACAAAGACAAAAACAAAGATCCCCCATGTAGCCTTAACAGACTGTAGGGGCAAGTACTGTTAGCGAGCACCTATGAAGGCCAGAACGGTACACGAGGGGGTGGGTGGCCAGCACCACGCCCGGCCGCCTTTGTCTCCCTAGTGGCGATGTTTACACACCGCACCAGGTACTCATTTGAGGCTGAGTAGACCTAGGGGAGGCCCGGGACCGGTTCAGATAATCGTCACTGGTGTTGGCCGTGAGCGGGAATCGAACCCGGGTCGCCAGGTTCATAGCACAGCGTAGCGCTAACCGCTACACACACAGTGAGACACACACAGTGACACACACACAGTAACACACACACACACAGTAACACACACACACAGTAGCACACACACAGTAGCAGCACACGCACACAGTAACACACACACAGTAGCACACACACAGTAGCACACACACACAGTAGCACACACACAGTAGCACACACACACACAGTAGCACACACACACAGTAACACACACACAGTAGCAGCACACGCACACAGTAACACACACACAGTAGCACACACACACACAGTAGCACACACACACAGTAGCACACACACAGTAGCACACACACACAGTAGCACACACACAGTAACACACACACACAGTAACACACACACACAGTAACACACACACACAGTAGCACACACACAGTAGCACACACACAGTAGCACACACACACAGCAACACGCACACAGTAGCACAAACACACACAGTAGCAGCACACACACACAGTAACACACACACAGTAGCACACACACACAGTAACACACACACAGTAGCACACACACACAGTAGCACACACACACATTAGCAGCACACACACAGTAACACACACACAGTAGCACACACACACACAGTAGCAGCACACACAGTAGCACACACACAGTAACACACACACAGTAGCACACACACACAGTAGCACACACACACAGTAGCAGCACACACAGTAGCACACACACACAGTAGCACACACAGTAGTAGCACACACACAGTAGCAGCACACACAGTAGCACACACACACAGTAGCACACACACACAGTAGCACACACACACAGTAGCACACACAGACACACACAGTAGCACACACACACACAGTAGCAGCACACACAGTAGCACACACATACACACACAGTCGCAGCACACACGCAGTAACACACACACAGAGTAGCAGCACACACAGTAACACACACACACACAGTAGCACACACACAGTAGCACACACACACACACAGTAACTCACCCACACAGTAGCACACACACACAGTAGCACACACACACAGTAGCAGCACACACACAGTAGCAGCACACACAGTAACACACACACACAGTAACACACACACACAGTAGCAGCACACACACAGTAACACACACACAGTAACACACACACACAGTAGCACACACACACAGTAACACACACACACAGTAGCACACACACAGTAGCACACACACAGTAGCACACACACAGTAGCAGCACACACACAGTAACACACACACAGTAACACACACACAGTAGCACACACACACAGTAACACACACACACACACAGTAGCACACACACAGTAGCACACACACACAGTAGCAGCACACACACAGTAGCACACACACACACAGTAACACACACACACACAGTAGCAGCACACACACAGTAGCAGCACACACACACAGTAGCACACACACACAGTAGCAGCACACACACAGTAGTAGCACACACACAGTAGCACACACACACAGTAGCACACACACACACACAGTAGCACACACACACAGTAGCACACACAGTAGCACACACACACAGTAGCACACACACAGTAGCAGCACACACACAGTAGCACACACACAGTAGCACACACACACAGTAGCACACACACACAGTAGCACACACACAGTAACACACACAGTAGCACACACACACAGTAACACACACACAGTAACACACACAGTAGCACACACACACAGTAGCACACACACACACACAGTAGCACACACAGTAACACACACACACACAGTAGCACACACACACAGTAGCACACACACAGTAGCACACACACAGTAACACACACAGTAGCACACACACACAGCAGCACACACACAGTAACACACACACACAGTAGCAGCACACACAGTAGCACACACACAGTAACACACACACACAGTAACACACACACACAGTAGCACACACACACACAGTAGCACACACACACAGTAGCACACACACAGTAGCACACACACACAGTAGCACACACACAGTAACACACACACACAGTAACACACACACACAGTAACACACACACACAGTAGCAGCACACACAGTAGCACACACACAGTAACACACACACACAGTAACACACACACACAGTAGCACACACACACACAGTAGCACACACACACAGTAGCACACACACACACAGTAGCACACACACACAGTAGCACACACACAGTAACACACACACACAGTAACACACACACACAGTAGCACACACACACACAGTAGCACACACACACAGTAGCACACACACACACAGTAGCACACACACACAGTAACACACACACACAGTAACACACACAGTAGCACACACACAGTAGCACACACACACAGTAGCACACACACAGTAGCACACACACAGTAACACACACACAGTAGCACACACACACAGTAGCACACACACACAGTAGCACACACACAGTAGCACACACACAGTAGCACACACACAGTAACACACACACAGTAGCACACACAGTAGCACACACACACAGTAGCACACACAGTAGCACACACACACACAGTAGCACACACACACAGTAGCACACACACAGTAACACACACACAGTAGCACACACACACAGTAGCACACACACACACAGTAGCACACACACACAGTAGCACACACACACACAGTAGCACACACACACAGTAACACACACACACAGTAACACACACAGTAGCACACACACAGTAGCACACACACACAGTAGCACACACACAGTAGCACACACACAGTAACACACACACAGTAGCACACACACACAGTAGCACACACACACAGTAGCACACACACAGTAGCACACACACAGTAGCACACACACAGTAACACACACACAGTAGCACACACAGTAGCACACACACACAGTAGCACACACAGTAGCACACACACACACAGTAGCACACACACACAGTAGCACACACACAGTAACACACACACAGTAGCACACACACACAGTAGCACACACACACAGTAGCACACACAGTAGCACACACACACAGTAACACACACACAGTAACACACACACAGTAGCACACACACACAGTAGCACACACACAGTAACACACACACAGTAGCACACACACACAGTAGCACACACACACAGTAGCACACACAGTAGCACACACACACAGTAACACACACACAGTAACACACACACAGTAGCACACACACACAGTAGCACACACACACACAGTAGCACACACACACAGTAACACACACACACAGTAACACACACACACAGTAGCACACACACACACAGTAACACACACAGTGTGTATCTAGGGGGTCTAGGGGGTCTAGGGGGTCTAAGACTACCCCCCCCCAGTGTGTATCTAGGGGGTCTCGGGGGTCTAGAGGGTCTAGGGGGTCCCCCCCAGTGTGTCTCGGGGGTCTTGGGGGTCTAGGGGGTCTAGGGCTACCCCCCAGTGTGTATATAGGGGGTCTAGGGGGTCTAGGGGGTCTAGGGCTACCCCCCAGTGTGTATATAGGGGGTCTAGGGGGTCTAGGGGGTCCCCCACCTGTCTGAGGAGCCCCTGCAGGGGACCCCCGTTGGAGCAGGCGATGAGGAAGCGTTGGTGGCGCTGGTCCAGGGGGTCTAGGGGGTCTAGGGGGTCTAGGACTACCCCCCAGTGTGTATCTAGGGGGTCTATGGGGTCTAAGGGGTCCCCCACCTGTTTGAGGAGCTCCTGTAGGGGACCCCCGTTGGAGCAGGCGATGAGGAAGCGCTGGTGGCGCTGGTCCAGGGGGTCCAGGGGGTCTAGGACTACCCCCCAGTGTGTATCTAGGGGGTCTAGGGGGTCTAGGACTACCCCCCAGAGTGTACCTAGGGGGTCTAGGGGGTCCGCCACCTGTTTGAGGAGCTCCTGTAGGGGACCCCCGTTGGAGCAGGCGATGAGGAAGCGCTGGTGGCGCTGGTCCAGGGGGTCCAGGGGGTCCAGGGGGTCTAGCAGCGAGCGAAGGGACCTCCCGTCCAGGCCCCCCACGTGGAACACCGTCACCTCCCAGGGGCCTCGCGGGGAGGAGAGCAGCGAGCTGAGCGTGGAGGGGTCGTCTGGGGGGGTGGGGGGGGTGGGTGGGGGGTGAGTGGGTGAGTGAGTGGGTGAGTGGGGGGTGAGTGGGTGGGTGGGTGAGTGGGTGGGTGAGTGAGTGAGTGGGTGAGTGGGTGAGTAAGTGAGTGGGTGAGTGAGTGGGTGGGGGGGTGAGTGGGTGAGTGAGTGAGTGGGTGAGTGGGTGGGTGGGTGGGTGAGTAAGTGGGTGAGTAAGTGGGTGGGTGGGTGAGTGGGTGGGTGAGTGAGTGAGTGGGTGAGTGAGTGGGTGGGGGGGTGAGTGGGTGAGTGAGTGAGTGGGTGAGTGGGTGGGTGGGTGGGTGAGTAAGTGGGTGAGTAAGTGGGTGAGTGGGTGAGTGGGTGAGTAAGTGAGTGGGTGAGTGGGTGAGTGGGTGTGTGGGTGAGTGGGTGAGTGAGTGAGTGGGTGAGTGGGTGGGTGGGTGAGTGAGTGGGTGAGTGAGTGGGTGAGTGAGTGGGTGGGTGAGTGAGTGGGTGAGTGGGTGGGTGGGTGAGTGAGTGGGACAAAATCCTACGGCCCGCATAGTTGTGACGATGTCACGTGGGGCACGGGAGAGGTCATCATCCCTCCATAGAACGGGCACCTCACCCATACCGCTCAGAAGTGGTTGGGTGACTTCCGCCAATATTTGAGGCACCGCAGCCTCAGCAGGGTCATCCCAACTTTGTGCCACGATGTTTTCCTGGCTGAGGGATTTTCCCTCCCCCAGGACCTCACAGAAATGCTCAGCAAATCTGCGAACCTGTTCCTGGGGGTCGGAGATTGGATCACCGTTTTTTCCCCTAATGATGGTAATAGGTGTGGTGCTGCAGGTTACTTTTTTGATGGAGTTAAATAGAGATTTGTGGTCGCGGGCCACTGAGGCAGACTCCATCTCCTCAGCAACCCGCGACCACCACCCATCCTTGCAGCGCCTCACGGCTCTCCGAACCTCCGAGCGAAGGCTGCGGTAAGCCTCCTCATTCTCTGACGTGGGATGCTGTAGCCGATGACAGTGGGCCTGTCGCTTTTTCTCAACCATCCTGAACACCTCCTCTGTCAGCCAGGGTCTCTGGGGAGGTCTGGACCGTGTACCCAAAGCAGCCATTGCAGCTGCATGAGTCACAGTCCTAAACCTCGCCCATTTACCCTCGACATCAGGAGGAGTGGGGGACGATGCCAATCCCAGCTGCAAGCGATGATGAAATTATTGCTTGCAACTTTCATCAGATAACTGAGACCAGGCCACTTTAGGTTGGAATGGGGTCCTGGGTGTACACCCACCACCGGAGTGGAAGAATGGCAGGCGCATCTTACAGATGACTAGTCGATGGTCAGAGGGCAGATCAGCTCCACGGTAGGTCCTGGTGTCAAGGACATGGGCTCGCATCCGCTGGTCTGTCACTATGTAGTCCAGCAGATGTTCTTGCTTGGACCCGGCATGCATCCATGATGTTGTGTGGATGCGCCGATGCCGGAACAGCGTGTTGGTAATTACAAGCCCATGGGCTGCACAAAAAACTAGCAGCCTCCTACCGTTGTTATTGAGCTGATCTGGCCCATGCCCTCCAATCACTCCAGACCAGGTGCCAGCATCATGACCAACTCGGGCATTGAAGTCACCCAACATGATGACTCTATCCCGAGGGGCCACTTTAGCCAGCACCTGTGACAGGAGGTCATAGAAGGCATCTGACTCATCGGCTTTGCCTGCATCCCTCCACGGATGTTCATCTTCGGTGGGGGCATAAGTAACCACGACCACCACTCCTCGCCTCCGGTTGATGGGAAGGCGAGCCCAAAGTAGCCTGGGGCTTACAGCTTCCCACACCTCACTGCCACGCTCCCACGCCCCCTTCATTCTTTTGTTCAAAAAAAGAGCCACACCCTGTTGTTTGGCAGTCTGCTGCCCCGAGTAGAGGACTGTCCACCCCTCATGGTGGCAGGAGCCAGAACCGGTCCACCAGACCTCCTGAATGCCACAGAGATCCAGGCGGTACCGGTCCAGCTCCCGACAGAGCCTCTCGTCCGCAGTGAGCGTTCGAACATTCCACGTGGCCACCCGTAGTGGTTTTTCGTTGTTTCTGGAGGAGCCCCGAGGGTAGAGATTCAATCTCTTGGCTCCGGCAATTGGGGTTTGGCCAGGAGACGTCATAGACGCCTGCCCCCCCGGGGCCTCCGGCACAAGCTTATTAGTTAGATATTTCAGTTTAACTCGTGGTTTCGTGGTAATTAATTGAAGGTGGAGGGGTTACCAGCCCCTCGCACCCGTCCAGAGCCCCCGTTTAGCCCCTGTGGTGGACACAGACGCCATGAGGGGAGGAGCCAATCAAAATTGGATCTCCCCCCACAGCACTGTCCACGACAGAGTTGCCCGTCCGGCACCGCGAGGAGGTAGGGGGTTGTTTTGCCGGAGACACACACACAGACAGACACACAGACACACACACAGACAGACACACAGACACACACACAGACACGTACAAAGATCAAAGATCCCCCAGGTAGCCTCTAGCAGGCTGTAGGGGCAAGTGCTGTTAGCGAGCACCTATGAAGGCCGGAACGGTACACGAGGGGGTGGGTCGCCAGCACCACGCCCGACCGCCTTTGTCTCCCTAGTGGCGATGTTTACACACCGCACCAGGTACTCATTTGAGGCTGAGTCGACCTAGGGGAGGTCCGGGACCGGTTCAGATAATCGTCACTGGTGTTGGCCGTGAGCGGGAATCGAACCCGGGTAGCCAGGTTCATAGCGCAGCGTAGCGCTAACCGCTACACTACCGCTCCCCACACACACACACAGTGACACACACACACGTACACACACATACACACACAGAGACACACACAGACACACACACACTACACACACAGACACAGACAAAGACACACACAGACACATACACAGACACACACACAGACACACACAGACACACACACAGAGACACACAGACACACACAGACACACACACACACTACACACAGACTACACACTACACACAGACTGCACACACAGACACACACACACTACACACACACACAGACTACACACTACACACAGACTACACACACTACACACACACTACACACTACACACACTACACACACACTACACACACACACACTACACACACTACACACACACACACTACACACACACTACACACACACACTACACACACACTACACACACTACACACACACTACACACACACTATACACTACACACACTACACACACACAGACTACACACTACACACACTACCCCCGTCGTGTAAGTAGACGAAGTCCTTCCAGCCGTAGTAGGAGACACACAGACTACACACACTACACACACACTACACACAGACACACACACTACACACACACTACACACACACACACTACACACAGACTACACACACACTACACACACAGACTACACACACAGACTACACACACACTACACACAGACACTACACACACAGACTACACACACACACTACACACACACACTACACACACACTACACACACACTACACTACACACTACACACACACTACACACACTACACACACACACTACACACACACTACACTACACACACTACACACCACACACACACTACACACACTACACACACTACACACACACACTACACTACACAAACACTACACACACACACTACACACACACTACACACACACTACACACACTACACACACTACACACAGACACAGTACACACACTACACACAGACACACTACACACACTACACACACACACACTACACACACACTACACACACACTACACACACACACTACACACACACTACACACACTACACACACAGACTACACACACACTACACACACACTACACACACACTACACACAGACTACACACAGACACTACACACAGACTACACACACTACACACACACTACACACACACACTACACACTACACACACTACACACACACTACACACACACTACACACACTACACACACACTACACACACACACACTACACACACTACACACACACTACACACACACACACACTACACACACACTACACACAGACTACACACTACACACACACACTACACACACACTACACACACACACTACACACACACACTACACACACACACTACACACACACTACACACACACACTACACACACACCACACACACACTACACACTACACACACTACACACAGACTACACACAGACTACACACACACACTACACACACACTACACACACACACTACACACACACTACACACACTACACACACACTACACACAGACTACACACAGACACACACACACTACACACAGACTACACACACACAGACTACACACAGACAACACACACTACACACACACACTACACACACACTACACACACTACACACACTACACACACACACACTACACACAGACTACACACACACTACACACACACACTACACACACACACTACACACACACTACACACACACTACACACACACACACTACACACAGACTACACACTACACACACTACACACACTACACACACACACTACACACACACTACACACACACTACACACACTACACACACACTACACACACACACTACACACACACTACACACACACCACACACACACTACACTACACACACACTACACACACACCACACACTACACTACACACACTACACACACACTACACACACACTACACACAGACTACACACACACTACACACACACACACACACCACACACTACACTACACGCACTACACACACACTACACTACACACACACACTACACACAGACTACACACACACAGACTACACACAGACTAGACACACACACACACACTACCCCCGTCGTGTAAGTAGACGAAGTCCTTCCAGCCGTAGTAGGACACACACACTACACACACACACCACACACACACACTACACACACACACTACACACACACACTACACACTACACACACTACACACACACTACACACACACTACACACACTACACACACACTACACACACACACACTACACACACTACACACACACTACACACACACACACTACACACACACTACACACAGACTACACACTACACACACACACTACACACACACTACACACACACACTACACACACACACTACACACACACACTACACACACACTACACACACACACTACACACACACCACACACACACTACACACACTACACACAGACTACACACAGACTACACACACACACTACACACACACTACACACACACACTACACACACACTACACACACTACACACACACTACACACAGACTACACACAGACACACTACACACACACTACACACAGACTACACACACACAGACTACACACAGACTACACACACTACACACACACACTACACACACACTACACACACTACACACACTACACACACACACACTACACACAGACTACACACACACTACACACACACACTACACACACACACTACACACACACTACACACACACTACACACACACACACTACACACAGACTACACACTACACACACTACACACACTACACACACACACTACACACACACTACACACACACTACACACACTACACACACACTACACACACACACTACACACACACTACACACACACCACACACACACTACACTACACACACACTACACACACACACACCACACACTACACTACACACACTACACACACACTACACACACACTACACACAGACTACACACACACTACACACACACACACACCACACACTACACTACACGCACTACACACACACTACACTACACACACTACACACAGACTACACACACACAGACTACACACACTACACACACACACTACACACACACTACACACACACTACACACACTACACACACACTACACACACACACTACACACACACTACACACACACCACACACACACTACACTACACACACACTACACACACACCACACACTACACTACACACACTACACACACACTACACACACACTACACACAGACTACACACACACTACACACACACACACACCACACACTACACTACACGCACTACACACACACTACACTACACACACACACTACACACAGACTACACACACACAGACTACACACAGACTAGACACACACACACACACTACCCCCGTCGTGTAAGTAGACGAAGTCCTTCCAGCCGTAGTAGGACACACACACTACACACACACACCACACACACACACTACACACTACACACACTACACACACACTACACACACACTACACACACTACACACACACTACACACACACACACTACACACACTACACACACACTACACACACACACACTACACACACACTACACACAGACTACACACTACACACACACACTACACACACACTACACACACACACTACACACACACACTACACACACACACTACACACACACTACACACACACACTACACACACACCACACACACACTACACACTACACACACTACACACAGACTACACACAGACTACACACACACACTACACACACACTACACACACACACTACACACACACTACACACACTACACACACACTACACACAGACTACACACAGACACACTACACACACACTACACACAGACTACACACACACAGACTACACACAGACTACACACACTACACACACACACTACACACACACTACACACACTACACACACTACACACACACACACTACACACACACAACACACACACTACACACACACACTACACACACACTACACACACACTACACACACACTACACACACACACACTACACACAGACTACACACTACACACACTACACACACTACACACACACACTACACACACACTACACACACACTACACACACTACACACACACTACACACACACACTACACACACACTACACACACACCACACACACACTACACTACACACACACTACACACACACACACCACACACTACACTACACACACTACACACACACTACACACACACTACACACAGACTACACACACACTACACACACACACACACCACACACTACACTACACGCACTACACACACACAGACTACACACAGACTAGACACACACACACACACTACCCCCGTCGTGTAAGTAGACGAAGTCCTTCCAGCCGTAGTAGGACACACACACTACACACACACACTACACACACACACTACACACACACACTACACACACACACTACACACACTACACACACTACACACACTACACACAGACTACACACACACTACACACACACTACACACTACACACACTACACACACACTACACACACACACTACACACACACTACACACACACACTACACACACTACACACACACTACACACACACACTACCCCCGTCGTGTAAGTAGACGAAGTCCTTCCAGCCGTAGTAGGACACACACACACTACACACACTACACACACACTACACACAGACACACACACTACACACACACTACACACAGAGCCACGTGTACCCCCGTCGTGTAAGTAGACGAAGTCCTTCCAGCCGTAGTAGGACACACACACACTACACACACACACTACACACACACACTACACACACTACACACACACACTACACACACACTACACACACACACTACACACAGACTACACACAGAGCCACGTGTACCCCCGTCGTGTAAGTAGACGAAGTCCTTCCAGCCGTAGTAGGACACGAGGTCAGCCAGGGCGGGGCCGGGGTCAGGAGCGAGCGAGAGGGGGGTCACTGGGCCCCCCACTCCGACCTCCTCCTCCTCCCCGTGCCCCCCCTCGTTGCGGGGGGCCGAGGGGGGGGACACGAGCAGGCAGGGCAGCGCCAGGCGGCGGCAGAAGCTGAGCAGCGTCTGGGTCTGAGCTGGGCCGCTCGTCTGTGCCGTCAGGGAGAAGACGCCCTGGGATAGCTGCTCGCACACTGGGGGGGAGGAGGAGGTGGGTGGCACGGGTTGATGAGGGGTGGCACGGGTGGAGGGGTGGCACGGGTTGAGGGGTGGCACGGGTGGGGGGGGGCACGGGTTGAGGGGTGGCACGGGTGGAGGGGTGGCACGGGTTGAGGGGTGGCACGGGTTGAGGGGTGGCACGGGTGGAGGGGTGGCACGGGTGGGTGGTGGCACGGGTGGTGGGGGCATGGGTTGAGGGTGGCACGGGTGGAGGGGTGGCACGGGTTGATGGGGGGGGCACGGGTTGAGGGGTGGCGCGGGTGGAGGGGGGCACGGGTGGGGGGCATGGGTTGAGGGTGGTACGGGTTGAGGGTGGTACGGGTTGAGGGGTGGCATGGGTGGAGGGGGCACGGGTTGAAGTGTGTCACGGGTGGGGGGTAGCACGGGTGGGTGGTGGCACGGGTGGAGGGGTGGCACGGGTGGGTGGTGGCACGGGTGGGGGGGGCACGGGTTGAGGGGGCACGGGTTGAGGTGTGTCACGGGTGGGGGGGGCACGGGTGGTGGGGGGGTGAGGTTTTAGGGGAGTGATGGCTCCGAGTTAACCGTCGCCTGAGGTCTCCACGGCAACACCACCACCACGTGACTGTGTGAGTGTGACCCACGTGACTGTGTGAGTGTGACCCACGTGACTGTGTGAGTGTGACCCACGTGACTGTGTGAGTGTGACCCACGTGACTGTGTGAGTGTGACCCACGTGACTGTGTGAGTGTGACCCACGTGACTGTGTGTGACCCACGTGACTGTGTGAGTGTGACCCACGTGACTGTGTGTGACCCACGTGACTGTGTGAGTGTGACCCACGTGACTGTGTGTGACCCACGTGACTGTGTGAGTGTGACCCACGTGACTGTGTGTGACCCACGTGACTGTGTGTGTGTGACCCACGTGACTGTGTGAGTGTGACCCACGTGACTGTGTGTGACCCACGTGACTGTGTGTGACCCACGTGACTGTGTGTGTGACTGTGTGACCCACGTGACTGTGTGACCCACGTGACTGTGTGTGACCCACGTGACTGTGTGACTGTGTGTGACCCACGTGACTGTGTGACCCACGTGACTGTGTGACCCACGTGACTGTGTGTGACCCACGTGACTGTGTGACTGTGTGTGACCCACGTGACTGTGTGTGACCCACGTGACTGTGTGACCCACGTGACTGTGTGTGACCCACGTGACACCCACGTGACTGTGTGTGACCCACGTGACTGTGTGACCCACGTGACTGTGTGTGACCCACGTGACACCCACGTGACTGTGTGTGACCCACGTGACTGTGTGACCCACGTGACTGTGTGTGACCCACGTGACACCCACGTGACTGTGTGTGACCCACGTGACTGTGTGACCCACGTGACTGTGTGTGACCCACGTGACACCCACGTGACTGTGTGTGACCCACGTGACTGTGTGACCCACGTGACTGTGTGTGACCCACGTGACACCCACGTGACTGTGTGTGACCCACGTGACTGTGTGACCCACGTGACTGTGTGTGACCCACGTGACACCCACGTGACTGTGTGTGACCCACGTGACTGTGTGACCCACGTGACTGTGTGTGACCCACGTGACACCCACGTGACTGTGTGTGACCCACGTGACTGTGTGACCCACGTGACTGTGTGTGACCCACGTGACACCCACGTGACTGTGTGTGACCCACGTGACTGCACGAGAGTAAACGCCGACCCCCCAGCCCCCGCGCTGCTGTCGCTGGCCCGGAAGTCGCCCCCCAGGGCGGCGACACCCACGGCGAAGGCCCCAGACTCCTGGCCAGACGCGTTCAGCAGCAGCATGGAGCCTGGGGCGGGGGGGGGGCAGGGGGGGCAGGGGGGAAGGGGGGGGCAGGGGGGCAGGGGGGGCAGGGGGGGGCAGGGGGGGCAGGGGGGGAAGGGGGGGCAGGGGGGGCAGGGGGGGAAGGGGGGGGTGAGGGGGGGTTTGAGCATCATCAGTGCCACCATTGACATCACCATCACCATCATCACGACCATCACCCCATCACCCCCCATCACCATCACCCCCATCACCATCACCCCATCACCATCACCCCATCACCATCACTCCATCACCCCATCACTCCATCACCCCATCACCCCATCACCATCACCCCATCACCCCATCACCATCACCCCATCACTCCATCACTCCATCACCCCATCACCATCACCCCATCACCATCACCCCATCACTCCATCACCCCATCACCCCCATCACTCCATTACCATCACCCCCATCACCCCATCACCTCCATCACTCCATCACTCCATCACTCCATCACCCCATCACTCCATCACCCCATCACCCCCATCACTCCATCACCCCATCACTCCATCACTCCATCACCCCATCACCCCATCACTCCATCACTCCATCACCCCATCACCATCACCCCATCACCCCCATCACTCCATTACCATCACCCCCATCACTCCATCACTCCATCACTCCATCACTCCATCACTCCATCACTCCGTCACTCCATCACTCCATCACTCCGTCACTCCATCACTCCATCACTCCATCACTCCGTCACTCCATCACTCCATCACTCCATCACTCCATCACTCCATCACTCCATCACTCCGTCACTCCATCACTCCATCACTCCATCACCCCATCACCATCACCCCATCACCCCCATCACTCCATTACCATCACCCCCATCACCCCATCACCTCCATCACTCCATCACTCCATCACTCCATCACCCCATCACCATCACTCCATCACCCCATCACTCCATTACCATCACCCCCATCACCCCATCACCTCCATCACTCCATCACTCCATCACCCCATCACTCCATCACCCCATCACTCCATCACTCCATCACCCCATCACTCCATCACTCCATCACTCCATCACTCCGTCACTCCATCACCCCATCACTCCATCACCCCATCACTCCATCACTCCATCACTCCATCACCCCATCACTCCATCACCCCATCACCCCATCACTCCATCACCCCATCACCCCATCACTCCATCACCCCATCACTCCATCACTCCATCACCCCCATCACTCCATCACCCCCATCACTCCATCACCCCCATCACTCCATCACCCCATCACGCCATCACTCCATCACTCCATCACCCCATCACCCCATCACTCCATCACTCCATCACCCCATCACTCCATCACCCCATCACTCCATCACTCCATCACTCCATCACCCCATCACCATCATCACCATCATCACCCCATCACTTCCATCACCCCCATCAGCACCACCCCCCACCACCCACATCACCCCATCACTCCATCACCCCATCACCACCACCCCATCAGCACCACCACTCCATCACCCCACCACCATCACCCCACCACCATCACCCCATCACCATCACCCCATCACCATCACCCCCATCACCCCCATCACCCCCATCACCCCATCACCATCACCCCATCACACCATCACCCCATCACCATCACCCCCATCACCCCATCACCATCACCCCATCACACCATCACCATCACCCCCATCACCCCATCACCATCACCCCATCACCACCACCACCCCGTCACGTGGTACCGGCGTAGATCTGTGCTTGAGCCGCGTTCAGCAACAGCAGCACGCAGAGAGACACGCGGGGAAGACGAGCAGAGAGACACGCCATGTTCTACTAAGACACACACACAGACACACACAGTGAGACACACACAGAGAGACACGCCATGTTCTACTAAGACACACACACAGACACACACAGTGAGACACACAGAGAGACACGCCATGCTCTACTGAGACACACAGACACACACAGTGAGACACACAGTGAGACACACAGAGAGACACAGTGAGACACACAGAGAGACACGCTGGGAAGACGAGCAGAGAGACACGCCATGTCGTTCTGAGACACACACACAGACACACACAGTGAGACACACAGAGAGACACGCCATGCTCTACTGAGACACACAGACACACACAGTGAGACACACAGAGAGACACAGTGAGACACACAGAGAGACACGCGGGGAAGACGAGCAGAGAGACACGCCATGTCGTTCTGAGACACAGTGAGACACACACAGAGACACACACAGTGAGACACACAGAGACACAGTGAGACACACAGAGAGACACGTGGGGAAGACGAGCAGAGAGACACGCCATGCTCTACTGAGACACACACAGAGAGACACACAGTGAGACACACACAGAGACACACACAGAGACACACACAGTGAGACACACACAGAGATACACGCGGGGAAGACGAGCAGAGAGACACGCCATGTTCTACTAAGACACACACAGTGAGACACACAGTGAGACACACACAGAGATACACGCGGGGAAGACGAGCAGAGAGACACGCCATGTTCTACTGAGACACACACAGAGAGACACGTGGGGAAGACGAGCAGAGAGACACGCCATGTTCTACTGAGACACACACAGAGAGACACGTGGGGAAGACGAGCAGAGAGACACGCCATGTTCTACTGAGACACACACACAGACACACACAGTGAGACACACACAGAGAGACACGCCATGTTCTACTGAGACACACACAGAGAGACACGTGGGGAAGACGAGCAGAGAGACACGCCATGTTCTACTGAGACACACACACAGACACACACAGTGAGACACACACAGAGAGACACGCCATGTTCTACTAAGACACACACAGTGAGACACAGTGAGACACACAGTGAGACACACACAGAGATACACGCGGGGAAGACGAGCAGAGAGACACGCCATGTTCTACTAAGACACACAGAGACACGCGGGGAAGACGAGCAGAGAGACACGCCATGTTCTACTGAGACACACACAGTGAGACACACAGAGACACAGTGAGACACACAGAGAGACACACAGAGAGACACGTGGGGAAGACGAGCAGAGAGACACGCCATGTTCTACTGAGACACACACAGTGAGACACACAGAGACACAGTGAGACACACAGAGAGACACACAGAGAGACACGTGGGGAAGACGAGCAGAGAGACACGCCATGTTCTACTAAGACACACACAGAGAGACACACAGAGAGACACAGTGACACACAGTGAGACACACACAGAGACACACAGTGAGACACACACAGAGAGACACGCCATGTTCTACTAAGACACACACAGAGAGACACGCCATGTTCTACTGAGACACACACAGAGAGACACGCGGGGAAGACGAGCAGAGAGCCACGCCATGTTCTACTAAGACACGGGGAGACACACAGGGAGACACCGGGAGACACGGGGAGACACTGGGAGAGACACAGAGACTCACGGAGACACAGGGAGACACGGGGAGATACTGAGAGACACCGGGAGACACACGAGGAGACACGCGGGAGACACGGAGAGACACACGAGGAGACACGGGGAGACACTGGGAGAGACACCGAAAGACATTGGGAGATACACAGAGACTCATGGAGACACGGGGAGACACTGGGAAAGACACCGGGAGACACACAGAGACTCACGGAGAGGCACAGGGAGACACGGGGAGACACACAGATACTCACGGAGACACAGGGAGACACGGGGAGACACTGAGAGACACGGGGGTACACACTGGGAGACACTGAGAGACACCGGGAGATACCGGTAGACACACAGAGACTCACGGGGAGACACCGGGAGACACGGGGAGACACTGGGAGAGACACAGAGACTCGCGGAGACACAGGGAGACACGGGGAGACACTGAGAGACACGGGGATACACACGGGGAGACACTGAGAGACACGGGGGAGACACAGGGAGACACGGGGAGACACTGGGAGACACGGGGGAGACACGGGAAGACACTCAGGGAGACATTGGGAGACACTGAGAGACACACGGGGGGAGGCATTGAGAGACACTGGGAGACTCACAGAGACACTTAGAGACACGGGGAGACAAGGGGAGACACGGGGAGACACTGGGAGATACACAAAGACTCACGGAGACACAGGGAGACACGGGGAGACACTGAGAGACACGGGGATACACACGGGGAGACACTGAGAGACACCGGGAGATACCGGTAGACACACAGAGACTCACGGGGAGACACCGGGAGACACGGGGAGACACTGGGAGATACACAGAGACTCACGGAGACACAGGGAGACACGGGGAGACACTGAGAGACACTGGGAGACACTGGGAGACACTGTGAGATATACAGAGACTCACGGAGACACTGAGAGACACACAGGGAGAGACACGGGGAGACACGGGGAGATACACGGGGAGAGATACGTGGAGACACGGGGAGACACGCAGAGACTCACGGAGACACTGGGGGACACGGGGAGACACAGTGGGAGACACGGAGACACACGGAGAGACACACGGGGAGACACGGGGAGACACACAGAGACTCTGTGAGACACGGGGAGACAAACTGGGTTAGACACGTGGAGACACTGGGAGAGACACGGGGAGACACTGGGAGACACGGGGAGAGACACGGGGAGAGACACGGGGAGACACACAGAGACTCTGTGAGACACGGGGAGACAAACTGGGTTAGACACGTGGAGACACTGGGAGAGACACGGGGAGACACTGGGAGACACGGGGAGAGACACGGGGAGACACACAGAGACTCTGTGAGACACAGGGAGACACGGGGAGACACAGTGGGAGACACGGAGAGACACACAGAGGCTCACGGAGACACTGGGAGACATTGTGTGACACACGGGGAGAGACACAGGGAGGAATTTGGAGACACGGCGAGACACGGGGGGAGACACGGGGAGTCACACATAAACTCACATAGACTCACGGAGACACTGGGAGACACACGGGGGGAGACACTGGGAGACACTGGGAGACACGGGGAGACACGGGGAGACACACAGAAACACACATAGACTCACGGAGACACTGGGAGACACACGGGGAGAGACACTGGGAGACACTGGGAGACACTGTGAGACACTTGGGAGACACTGGGAGACACACAGAGACACTGGGAGACACACAGAGACACACAGAGACACACAGAGACTCACGGAGACACTGGGAGACACACGGGGGGAGACACTGGGAGACACTGGGAGACACGGGGAGACACACAGAAACACACATAGACTCACGGAGACACTGGGAGACACACGGGGAGAGACACTGGGAGACACTGGGAGACACTGTGAGACACCTGGGAGACACTGGGAGACACACAGAGACACTGGGAGACACACAGAGACACACAGAGACTCACGGAGACACTGGGAGACACACGGGGGGAGACACTGGGAGACACTGTGAGACACCTGGGAGACACTGGGAGACACACAGAGACACACAGAAACACATAGAGACACACAGAGACACACAGAGACTCACGGAGACACTGGGAGACACACGGGTGGAGACACTGGGAGACACTGTGAGACACTTGGGAGACACGGGGAGACACGGGGAGACACACAGAGACACATAGAGACACACAGAGACACACAGAGACTCACGGAGACACTGGGAGACACACGGGGGGAGGCACTGGGAGACACGGGGAGACACTTGGGAGACACTGGGAGACACACAGAGACACTGGGAGACACACAGAGACACACATAAACTCACATAGACTCACGGAGACACTGGGAGACACACGGGGGGAGACACTGGGAGACACTGTGAGACACTTGGGAGACACGGGGAGACACGGGGAGACACACAGAGACACACATAGACTCACATAGACTCACGGAGACACTGGGAGACACACGGGGGGAGACACTGGGAGACACTGGGAGACACTGGGAGACACTTGGGAGACACGGGGAGACACACAGAGACACTGGGAGACACACAGAGACACACAGAGACACACAGAGACTCACGGAGACACTGGGAGACACACGGGGGGAGACACTGGGAGACACTGGGAGACACGGGGAGACACTGAGACACTGGGAGACACTGAGACACTGGGAGACACTGGGAGACACACGGGGGGAGACACGGGGAGACACTGTGAGACACTTGGGAGACACGGGGAGACACGGGGAGACACACAGAGACAGACATAAACTCACATAGACTCACGGAGACACTGGGAGACACACGGGGGGAGACACTGGGAGACACTGGGAGACACGGGGAGACACACAGAAACACACATAGACTCACGGAGACTCGCGGAGACACTGTGAGAGTGGTCTCAGGATTGCGAGGAGGCAGCAAATGAATCTGAGACACACACAGACTGACACTGAGACACACACACTGACATTGACACCCACACACAGACGAACACTGAGACACACACACTGACACACACACTTACACACACACACTGAGACACACACACTGACACTGACACCCACACACAGACGAACACTGAGACACACACACTGACACACACACTTACACACACACAGACGAACACTGAGACACACACACTGACACACACACTTACACACAGACGAACACTGAGACACACACACTGACACACACACTTACACACACACAGACGAACACTGAGACACACACACTGACACACACACTTACACACACACAGACTGACACTGAGACACACACACTGACACTGAGACACACACTTACACACACACAGACACACACACACTGACACACACACTTACACACACACAGACGAACACTGAGACACACACACTGACACACACACTTACACACGCACAGATGAACACTGAGACACACACACTGACGCTTAGACACACACACACTGAGACACACACACTGACACACACACTGACACACACACTGACGCTGAGACACACACACACGCACACAGACACACACACAGACACACACACACAGACACACACACACAGACTGACACACACACACGCACACAGACAGACACACACACAGACACACACACACAGACACACACACAGACACACACACAGACTGACACACACACTTACACACACACTTACACACACACACTGAGACACACACACTGACACTGAGACACACACACACGCACACACACAGACATACACACAGACACACACACAGACACACACACACAGACTGACACACAGACGAACACTGACACTGAGACACACACACTGACACACACACAGACACACACACAGACACACACACTGACACACACACACTGACACACACACAGAGACACACAGAGACACACACACTGACACACACACAGACGAACACTGACACACACACACTGACACACACACAGACACACACTGACACACACTGACACACACACAGACTGACACACACACACAGACACACACAGACTGACACACACACTGAGACACACACACACACTGACACACAACAACAACAACCGCCAATCGCCACAAAGTGGCGGTGACGTCACCACGACGCTTGTGCCAGGCTATGTGCACCCTGAGGCCACGTGAAGTGTCGAACGCCCGCTGGCAGGAGGTCACGGGGCAGACCCAGGTGCCACGGGTCGACTGACTGAGATGACTGGCTGATGCACCACCTGTGCCCCCTACTGTGCCAACCTGCTGTGCTTTAGCCACCCGGCGCTCCGCTCGTTGTTGTGAGCGTCGCTCCTCCGCCCTCCGTTGTTGTTGGAGGGCGACTGCCTCCAAGTGCCCAGTAGCATCCTTCACGAGCCTCCTCCACAGAGGCCGATCTTGACACCGCTGGTATCGGTCATCGGCAAGTCCACTCAGCTCCACGTCCTCCTGTACCACATCACTCCATCTCTTCTCTAGCCCGTGCCGCGCCCATTTGGCCCCCTCAATCCGGCCGAACAAAAGCTGTTTCGGCATGCGGTGGCTGGGCATACGGGCTACATGACCCAGCCATCGCAGCCTTCCCCGCCGGAGGAGCTCACCGATGGGACCTTGCCCAGATCTTTCAAGGATTTGTGAGCTCCTCACACAATCCAGTCTGGTTACACCCAGGATAGATCGTAGACAGGCCAGCTTAAATGTTTCTAACCGGCGAAGATGTTCCATTCGGAGTGAGACCTCTGCTGTTAAACTGGAGCCGGTCATAAGCACACTGCCCAGGTATGGGAAACTCTCCACTCTCTCCACAACTACCCCATCACCGATTGGGACTTGTGGGGGTGGAGTGTCCGATGGTACAAAATACCCAGGCAGGTGCTTAGTTTTGGTGGGGCTGATGGTAAGGCCCCACCTCTTAGTGGCACGCTCCAATCTCAGTAGCAGCGTCTCCAACTCCTCCTCTGAATGAGCAGCTATTACCAAATCATCAGCATACATAACGTGGTTGAGCAATAGGGAGCCATCCCTTGACCGCACCCGGGCATCGATCAGCCTCCCATTATATCTGTACCAAATGGAGATTCCCCCGGTACAGCTATTGAAGGCTTCACGAACTACGTGGTCAAAATAGATGTTAAATTATGTGGGAGCCAGAGGACATCCCTGTCGCACCCCAAGGTGTACAGGGAATGGCTCTGACTCCCGGCCACGTAGTTTTACCCGGGCCTGCTCACCATCATGAAGGTCCTTAATGATCGTGTGCAGAGGGTCAGTTACTCCAAAAGCACGAAACACAACCCAGAGCCCAGGCCTACTGATGGTATCATAGGCCTTGACCAGGTCAATAAAGCAGAGATGTAGGTCTTGCTGGAATTCCCTACACCTCTGCTGTAGCAGACGGACAGAAAATATGGCATCTGTGCAGGACCGCCCTTTCCTGAAACCGCATTGGGGCTCCGTAAGCCTCTCGTCAGCATGCCTGGCAAGGCGATGTTGAATAATCCTTGCCAGTACCTTTCCCGGCACACTGAGGAGTGAGATGCCCCTGTAGTTGTTACAGTCTGTGCGGTCCCCCTTCTTAAAGAGGGGGACCACCAGGGCATCCTTCCAATCCAGCGGAACCCGTCCAGTGGTCCAGACTGTTGTTATGATGTCATATAGGGCAGTCTGTGCACAAACGCCACCCTCCTTCAGTATTTCGCTTAGGAGATCATCTCTGCCCGCTGCCTTTCCTGGTCTCAGACTCCGGATCGCCTTCAGTACTTCCTCAACAGATGGCACCTCAGCCAGCCACTCACAGGGGGTGACTTCTTCCAATATTTGAGGCACCGCAGCCTCAGCAGGGTCATCCCCACTTTGTGCCACGATGTTTTCCTGGCTGAGGGATTTTCCCTCCCCCAGGACCTCACAGAAATGCTCAGCAAATCTGCAAACCTGTTCCTGGGGGTCGGAGATTGGATCACCGTTTTTTCCCCTAATGATGGTAATAGGTGTGGTGCTGCAGGTTACTTTTTTGATGGAGTTAAATAGAGATTTGTGATCGCGGGCCACTGAGGCAGACTCCATCTCCTCTGCAACCCGCGTCCACCATCCATCCTTGCAGCGCCTCAAGGCTCTCCGAACCTCCGAGCGAAGGCTGCGGTAAGCCTCCTCATTCTCTGACGTGGGATTCTGTAGCCGATGACAGTGGGCCTGTCCCTTTTTCTCAACTATCCTGAACACCTCCTTTGTCAGCCAGGGTCTCTGGGGAGGTCTGGACCGCGTACCCAAAGCAGCCAATGCAGCTGCATGAGTCACAGTCCTAAACCTCGCCCATTTACCCTCGACATCAGGAGGAGAGGGGGACGATGCCAATCCCAGCCGCAAGCGATGATGAAATTCTCGCTTGCAACTTTCATCAGATAAATGAGACCAGGCCACTTTAGATTGGAATGGGGTCCTGGGTGTACACCCACCACCGGAGTGGAAGAATGGCAGGCGCATCTTACAGATGACTAGTCGATGGTTAGTGGGCAGATCAGCTCCACGGTAGGTCCTGGTGTCAAGGACATGGGCTCGCATCCGCTGGTCCGTCACTATGTAGTCCAGCAGATGTTCTTGTGGACCCGGCATGCATCCATGATGTTGTGTGGATGCGCCGATGCCGGAACAGCGTGTTGGTAATTACAAGCCCATGGGCTGCACAAAAATCTAGCAGCCTCCTACCGTTGTTATTGAGCTGATCTGGCCCATGCCTTCCAATCACTCCAGACCAGGTGCCAGCATCATGACCAACTCGGGCATTGAAGTCACCCAACAAGATGACTCTATCCCGAGGGGCCACTTTAGCCAGCACCTGTGACAGGAGGTCATAGAAGGCATCTGACTCATCGGCTTTGCCTGCATCCCTCCACGGATGTTCGTCTTCGTTGGGGGCATAAGTAACCACGACCACCATTCCTCGCCTCCGGTTGATGGGAAGGCGAACCCAAAGTAGCCTGGGGCTTACAGCTTCCCACACCTCACCGCCACGCTCCCACGCCCCCTTCATTCTTTTGTTCAAAAGAAGACCCACACCCTGTTGTTTGGCAGTCTGCTACCCCGAGTAGAGGACTGTCCACCCCTCACGGTGGCAGGAGCCAGAACCGGTCCACCGGACCTCCTGAATGCCACAGAGATCCAGGCGGTACCGGTCCAGCTCCAGCTCCCGACAGAGAGAGCGGCAGCCTCTCCTCCGCAGCGAGCGTTCGGTACATTCCACGTGGCCACACGAAGTGGCTTTTCGTTGTTTCTGGAGGAGCCCCGAGGGTAGAGATTCAATCTCCCGGCTCCACCAAATTGGGGTTTGGCCAGGAGACCTCATAGACGCCTGTCCCCCCGGGGCGCCTCCGGCACAAGCTTATTAGTTAGATTTTTTTCACGGTGTCGTTTTGGTATTACTTCGCTTGAAGGTGGCGGGGTTTCCAGCGCCTCGCGCACGTCCAGAGCCCCCCGGCGGCTACAAACGCCACGAGGAGGCATTGCCGATTGGAATTGGCACCGCTCACCACAGCGTTACCATCCGGAACCACATCCTGAATACCAAACAGGGATGAAGATTCCCCGGTGGAGCCTGAGCAGACTGTTGGGGCGAGTGCTGTTAGCGAGCGCCTATGAATGCAGCCGGCGCTGTGGCTACACAAACAGAGGGGGTGGGTGGATACCAGCACCACGCCCGGCCGCCTTTGTCTCTCCCCCCAGTGGCCATTTTTACACCAAAGCTAAAGTAGCGGGTATAGCCTTAACAGTGTCGTAGGGGCAAGTGCTGTCGGTAGCGAGTAGCAGCACCTACACACACAGACAAAGATCCCCCAGGTAGCCTCTAGCAGGTTGTAGGGGCAAGTGCTGTCGGTAGCGAGTAGCAGCACCTACACACACAGACAAAGATCCCCCAGGTAGCCTCTAGCAGGTTGTAGGGGCAAGTGCTGTTAGTAGCGAGTAGCAGCACCTACACACAGACAAAGATCCCCCAGGTAGCCTCTAGCAGGTTGTAGGGGCAAGTGCTGTTAGTAGCGAGTAGCAGCACCTACACACACACAGACAAAGATCCCCCAGGTAGCCTC